CAACTTCATTTTAGTGTGCCAGCAGTAACTGACTTAACATGCACTCTCTGCTGGGTTAGGATATTGCGTCAAACCACTCCAGCTGATAGTAGTTTTCATGAATATCCCTCTCCATTCAGGTATATCCAAGTATAAATTAAACTGAGGCAGCAACAGGGTCTGAAAATGCAAGAAGGGCCTGTGACAGGGGTGACCCAGCTGGTGACTCAGCAGGACTTTCCCTTCCTCCTCCTCTGCAAGGAAGGGCAGGAAATTTCAAAAGAATGTGTTCATACCAAACACAGCTATGAGTTATGATTTAAAGCAAAGTCACATGCCCACAGATAGTAAGGCCAGCAGCTTAAACCTGGCAGTGAACCAGTAACACACACACAAAATGAATTCCTTCTCCACAAAAAGCTGGACACCGCAACCCAGCATCCTTTAACACTGCTGGTGCCCACCACTGAGTTCTACCATTTAGCTGAGCATGGAGGTTGTACCATAACTATTTGTCATTTAAGTATTCCTGTGTTTGACTATAAATAATGTAGATCACATTTGTGGAACATGATTAATGAACAGGACTCGAAACTTCAGCCCACACAGTAGCTGTGGGTAAATAAGTAGTTCTGCATAACAACACACCCAGGATAGCCTATTCTTGGCAGAGAAAACTCCTACGCTTGCTCTATCACCAATAAAATTCTCTGAAAATGACGATACGTAAGAGAAAATGCATAGCATTAGACCCCCAGAGGCCTGTCAAACCTGATATCCCCTCTCTGATAAAGTCTGTGGAAGAGTACAAGAATCGGACACGCACACAGTAGATGCACGCCAATAACAAACTCTCAGCCACTTCTTACAGCACAGATCTGCTGAGCCAAATGCGATGCCTTCACATTTATCAAACAATGATGCATTTTTCTGCACAACATCTCAGAGATCAGCATCTTAATGTGCGGTTCTGAGCTTGCCACCTGATAATTTGCTGAATACCTTAAAAGAGTTCAAGGAGACAAAAACAGGTGACAAACAACCCTTGTTTCACATTCACCTTCTTCATGCACCCATATCACTCACAATTTTAGAGGCTTTCACCATCTCTGTCCTTCCCTTCTCCCCTAAATCACCCCCTCTGTGCTTTTTCAAGTGCTACTGTATTTTCTGAAGCCCGAGGAAGGGACCCAGAGCTGCACAGCACTTGCCGCATCGGCATACCATGAATACATGTAGCAACATGATACCAGTCTTTGGTTTGCTCTCTACTACTTCCATAACAATTCCTACCGTTTTATTTCTTTGACTCTCATAGCACATTTTCAGATAGCCATCTAACACCAAGACTCTGTTCCTAAGGAGAGGTTTTTGCCGGCCATTTCACTGCCCAGGCACCATGGAATCACAGAATCATTTAGGTTGGAAAAGACCCTTAAGATCATCAAGTCCAACAGTAAACCTAACACTGCCAAGTCCACCACTAAACCATGTCCCTAAGTGCCACATCTACACATCTTTTAAATACCTCCAGGGATGGTGACTCAACCACTTCCCTGGGCAACCTGTTCCAATGCTTGATAACCCCTTCAGTGAAGAAATTTTTCCTAACATCCAATCTAAACCTCCCCTGGCCATGCCTTAACTCACACAGCTTATGGCCAAGCGACTGACATTCCTGTTGTACGTCTAATCACTTAGTTCATTATTGTTAGGCTTTTCACCACATCTGCACTTGGCACTCAGCTTTGAGTACATTAACAGCAGCAGCAAACTTTGCCATCTGACTTTTCACTCTTTTCCAGATCATTTATAAGTATTTGGGAGAGCACAAGCTCATAAGCCCAACACAGATGCCTCCACTGTGAAAAAAAGCAAGCTACTCCTACCCTCTGCTTTGCACCTTGGCCGATTACCTGGCCACAGCAGAACCCGCCTCCTCACCCCACAGCCACCAAGCCCTTCCAAAAGCCTTTGATGAAGTACGTTTCAAAAGAGGGCTTGAAAAACCAAGCACACTGGCTGAATGTCCCAACGCTACGGTGGTTCTTATGAATCTATCAAACTCCACCGAAGCCAGCAACTCACTACTAACAAGGTCCTAATAACCATATCTAGTCTTCAGCTATTAATCTAAACCAGCTGAATTGTCAATCACCAGCTCTTTCTCCCAGCCAAAACAATTTGCAGTTTTGCACACAAAAAAAGAAATAACGAGCCCGAGAATCGACACAGTGATTTCTTTCAAGTTAAAAGCAAAAGAACTTCACTTTCCTTCCAACGTATCTAAAAACAAAACAGTAATTTGGTTAACCACAAGTATAACAGCCTTCCCATGATAAGGCTAGCTTCAAATCACTGAAAAATAATTACTAAGATGGCTTCTGTTGATTTAAAAGTACGTAGTGATTTCCATTTCACTGACTATATTCATTTTGTTGATTCATTTTATACAAATAAAAACAAACCAGTCATTTAAATAACTGTTCTTCAGTGAACAGTTTTCTGCCAACTGACATGAAGGGAAAACCACGACACAGACAGGAGAGCTACAAATTCTGTATTCAGTCTTAAGAGCAGGGGTTTCGCACATCTGCATTTTTCCCCAGGGGGTGGGGAGGAGCTGAGTTTTCGTTGACTTGAACAATATTTATTTCATCCAAACAGCTTTCAAGGGGGAAATGCCTGCCTGTCAAGAGTTTCATTACTACAGTCAGGTCTCAAACTAATTACTTAATGGGAAGGTATGTTAACAATAACTTTTACCAAATAAAAACTTAACAGAAGTAGGCTAACAGAGAAGTTACTTGGCTAGCTACAACTGTTTGAATTACTGATTTTAATCAAATAACTTATCATGTGGTTTTCCTCTAATTATTTAGTTTCAGCACTTACCTCTGTTCAAGCTATTCATCTGCAGTTCAGAACTTTGTAATAGGTTGCATAGCTCATTTAAGGGTTGAATTGCCTGCATTTTACCTCTTTGCTGATTAAAGGGAATTGAGTGTCCCAAGAATGTTTAACAAGCCTGTCCATTCTACAAGTAAACCACCTCCTCCCAAACCACCTCTTGCTGCCAAGAAAAGGTTTACTGGATGAAAACAAGGAATTAATGCCAGTGAAGAACACCATAGCTTTAGGGCACAGTCGATCTCAAGTCTTCCCTTCCCACACCCCCACCATCACTAGCTGTGAAAGATCCCAGTGACACTGGTTTTTGTTCCTTTACTGCCTTGGAAGTCTTATGTTACCATTTCTACAATTTTCTTTCAAAGTTTTTTCTGCTAGATGTGTCAGCTCTCATCTTCAGGGTAAAAACCATGTCTTGTACTTCTTTTTCTGATCCCCAGTCTTTCTGTACCGATTTCTCCGTGCTGTCATTACTCCCTTTCCAAATATCTGCTCATTCTCTTGGGTTTTTTGGTATAGTCTTGAATTCTCTCCTTTTTCATTCTGCTTACCCGCACAGTCGATAACACAAGGCATATTGTCAAGAGCTGCTTTCTCAAGAAGGAACGCACAATTCCATGTGCATGCAAGAACTGTAATTTAGGTTCTCCAAACAAAGCCTGTGTGTGGAGGTGGGGGGGAGAGGAAGGGCCAACACAGGTATAAAATTTCACACCAATTTTGAGGGAGGCAGGGGAGAGAAAGATGGTCTTGAAGGTATTTTTTGCCCCTTCAAGAGGAAAGCTTCCTCCTCCCTGCCAGAAAGACAGCGTCCTTCCCCTCACCCAGCTTAGTCCCCCATCTCCCTCCCAGGGCTTCCCCACCCTACGGCACCTCCAGCGCTCCCCCCTCCTCTCTTCCACAGGGAATGTGGAAGCCTCTCCCAGCTGCTGAGCTGCTCCATCTACCACTCCTTGTCAGCTGCCTCTCTGCAGCGCATACATCTGATTCCCAGACCCACCTCACGCTGTGCGGAGCGGCTAACAGAAGCAGCCGGCAGGCAGCAGTGGAGGGGACTGCTGAGCAGCTGCTTTCCGTACAGGCCTAGGACATAGGCTAGGACAGCTGTTTTTATGATTTATTAAGCTTATTGTAGCATCGTATCATTATGACTGCATTCCAACAATTGTCTCCAAATATTTATGGGCAGAGCTACTTGGCATTAATTACTGACTGGTTTTTAAAAAAAAAAAAAAGTTCAACCTCTGATATCTTGACCACCTATTCATTCAATACCAAAACCTCTTGAATGATGACTCATAGAGGCAGAGGTAAGCAATGGCAAACATGAAGATCCCAAAAGGCACTTTTTCAGCTCAAGCTTAACACACTAGCATGTAGTCCAACCTGCTAAGCTACAGAGGATCAAGATGTTTTACTGTTTTTACCTTTTAATTGAAAAATGACATGGAAGCAATACATTTTCATCGAAACCCGGCAGATCAGAGACTCAGTAAAATAAAACTTCTAACCTATCTGAGATTTCATTTAAGCCTCAGAAGATTTGATTTCAGACTATGATTCACATCTGCTGTCTTCTCCTTGCATGAACTGTTGCCCCATCACTTCTCAGTTGCATTACTTAGTGCTGAAGAAGTTCATCCTGGAAATTTTTTCACATGTAAAAATTTCAGCTTTAAAAGCCACAAAACATTCCCTTAGGATTTAAAGAAAACCCTCGGTTTGGCCAAAACAAGCCCATTACTAACACACACTTCTTTCTCCAAGTTGCAAATACAAAAATTAATAGTTTAAATGACAATTCTCACACATGCTTTCCCTTTTCCCCTCAAAGCCACCAACATGAAAAAAAGTAGGTATTCAGCTTGTCCTGTTGCTGTATCATATTTTGGTCTATCCATAATGTTAACCTGTAAAAATTACTGTAAGGACATTAGCAAGCTACCTGAATCTCATTTTACCTTCAGCTTCCATGCACCGAGAAAGCCACATAACCAGTAACAAACAGGTGAGTCAAACAGGAGCAACTATTCTGAAACCATGGATCTTGTGTATCCTGGAACGCATTTACAGTAATTTAAAACATTTTCTACTCATTGGAAGTAGCTTACCTGAAGGACAGGCACTTTTTGTGGTGTATTTTGTGGTGACTGGTGAAGCTGTGCCCAAGGCTGATGATGAGGATGTGGGGGTGGTGAAGACTGATGATGTATCCCTGGATGAGGCTGCATGGGAGGACAGGTTGGCATTTGCTGTTGAAAAGACTGCTGTTGACTAGGAAGCTGCTGGCCAGATATTAGTCGCTCTTGTATTGCTTGTGGATCTGCAAGGCCAACACCTGGACAACCATTTGGTCTCATGTGCCCACCCATCTCCCGTGGTGCTGAAGACATACCCATAAACGGACGATTCTGTTGCATGTTTCGGGGGCCCATATTCCTTTGTCCAATTCCCATGGCACCAGGGGGCTGGTGTGACGGCTGAGGATGGGGTATATTTGGATAACTGCCAACTTCCATTGGTATTCCAGCACTACCAGGTCTAACCTGTGGAGGAGGTGTACCTGCTGGATTACTCATTGCTTTCATAGGTGACATGGGAGGTGGAGAGGCATAAGTTCCCTGAGGCTGTGAAGGGTGCATAGTTTGCGTGTTCATTTGGTTAAGTGAGCCACTAGGGTGGATGGGTTGCTGGTGCATTAGTCCTTGACCACTGTTTGATGGAAATCCGACAGCATTTGGGTATCTTGGTACAGATTGATTCATTGGAGTGTTATTTGTAAGGCCTAAATTCTGATTCATCCCTGTATTATTAACTAATCCCTGATTAAGGTTACTGTAAGGATATCGAGAATACTGCCCTGAGTTGTTTATAGTAGGTGAGGGTACCGTCTGGCTCCGAGAACTAAAATTAAGTGTTTGCGGCCTAACAGCACCCTGCTGAGGAGGATTAGGGGAGAATCTGGGACTGTGGGCTACTGATTCTCCATGGAGAGCAGTGGGGGGATGGTGGTGAAATTGCTGGACTGAGTGTCGCAAAGAAGGTGCCATACTGGGATTCTGCTGGGGCACATGAGACAAGTGGCCAGGTCCTGAGGTGGCAATGAAAGGGTTTCCCTGATTGAGGCCTTCTTGGCCTTGAGAAAACTGGTTCATCCTCTGCTGTTGCGGCTGACCATGCTGCTGCATTGAAAAATCACCACGAGCCATGTAGTTTCCCATCTGCTGCATGTGCTGAGGATGGCCCTGCCCAGGGGGTCCGGAGGGTGCCTGTGGTGGCTGTGCCGGTTGCGGTTGCTGCTGCTGTTGCTGCTGGTATGGTGCCCTTATCTGGTCTGGCACTTGAACTGCCCGTGGTCCCCACATGGAGCCACTGTCTACAAAGGGTTGCCCGTGTCTTTCGTTCTGCATGCTGGGATAGACTCCCATCTGACCACCAGTACCACTGCTGTGAGGAACCTGAGGAACTGGAGGGTTGTGATACTGTGAATGAGGAGATGCTATACCATTCCCAGGGGCATTGCTTATCATCCTGTTCGGCTGATCCATCAGGTGCATTTTCTGCTGTTCGTATTGATTATAGTGATCAAAATGGGTCAACTTGGCTTGATTTTGATTTGCAGGGGGATGATGAAGAGATGACTGTAAAGAGGGAAATCCTTGATCCATGGGCATTTGCTGCCCCATAGGATTTACTGTATTTTCAGGATATCCACATTCTCCAAGACCTTCCAACCCTTCACTGAAAATATTCCCATCTTCTCCAAACAGACTCATCATTCCTGGATCTGCCATCTTTTTTCAGCACACAGCTCCTTGGAGCTACAACTAGAATGCTAGTCTGTGCTTCACCTCGGCGAGGTGTTTTGTCCTCAAAGCCTTTAATCCTCAACTAATCTCCTTCATGTCATTCCATATTTCCTTAATTCTTTTGGACCACGCAGTGTCAGGCAAAGTCTGGTTACTGCTCCTAGAAAAAGTGGGGGAGGGGGGAGAAAGAGAGGAAGATATTGAAATAAATAATGTCAGGCAATATAAAGAAAACACACTTGACTGTTTTTTAGACAATGCTAGCTAGTTTCAGCCCCCGAAATACATCTTAAAAATCTATTTCACTTTACAAAGGATTCATTAGCTTTATCAGAAGCTTTATTATGATAGAGAGTTAGGAAGCAAGCAAAACACTAGCCTTAACCTTAAATTAATCCATTCACTACACTTCCTAGTGCTCCTTTCTTGGGTGGAACAGAACAAAAGAACACAACATGCAGCAGCAGCAGCTGCCACAGCAGGTAGGCAGATGTATGAATATAGCCAAGCAGCCCATCTGCCGAACTAAAGCCCTGAAAACGCTCTAGTTACCAACAGCATGTCCTTAGCCTTATTCCCTTGAGCTGTGTAATCAGATGAGCAAGCAGAAGCACCAAGTCCTGTGACAGACTAAAGTTAGTTATACGGACAACAGATTTTTCAAACGCACACAGAGATGACCCTCTAAAACATACCAAACGCCAAGACTTAACATTTAGGAAGCCAAAAAAATATTTCTTTTTAAAAACACACAATTTATCTTCATTTAATGAAGTTGTAAACTGAAAGACATGACGTTTCTTCCCATTTAAGCAAAACTGTATGCTCAATTTGTGTAATAAAATTAAATTCAAAAGCTTCATTCTATGATAGGGTAGATTTCTCAATCCATATCATAATTTCTCTCATGATGATAACAGGGAACACTCAATGGAGTTCATTATTCATCTTCAGGCAATCATGCTACTAACTGCAACTACAGCACTTTAGAAGACTACACTGAAGTTTTGTTCTCTCCAGAATTACAATCTTGAAAACTTATTCAGGAGAATTAGTAATGGCAAAAGAATTTAAATAACAAAATGCTAAGCTAACAAGGTACATACTTGGGAAAAAAAGAAAAAAGCAACACACAGTAACAGAGTAGACTCAGAAAAGTTCCGTTTAGGTTTTTCACGTGGAAGACTGGCATGTTCTGAAATGTGCCCCCTGTCCTCTCCCTGCAACAACATGAAAGATTTTGTTTGCATCTGTTTATTATGAACAAAACTAGTCTAATGCTATCTTTCCTTCTTAAGATCAGATTTTTAAATGCTATGTCTTGTATCTCAAAATAAACTTTTAAGACAATAGTCAAGGAAGCCCATCCACGTAGCAAATAAAAGCAACTATTTTTGCATCTTTGTTGTAATTCAGTAGCGACTGTACTTGCAGATACCAACTTGCCCTTACTCAGTGATCAAAGAAAAGAAGATTTACAAGTTTGTACTTTCACATCTCGCATCTTGTTGCTGAGGAGGGATGCTTTCAGTCACTTTGGATGCAAAATGCCAGGCCAGACTACTTTAACTGAAGGCAATTTGTCCCAGACAAGTTTTAGGGAGAAAATATCAGCACATTTATTACAATTCTTGTAGCCACTGTCAAGAGGACCTTCTACAGCATGAAGCAGAGGGCAAGAGGAAAAGCACAAGCATTTATCACTCCTCTTAAAATAGCATTTGAATGTCACCTTTAAAACCACACTCTTAAATCTCTTTAGTGCTCGGCTGGGATATTAGCACTTAAATTTCTAAGTCACTTGGGGGTAAATTCCTATGAGCCATCTCCATATCGCTAATACCTATTTCTTTGGATTTCATTTTCTTTATTAAGCAGAAGCCATCTTTAACATTTACCACCTCAATCAGTTTATTAAAGCACAGCATAAGGAAGTTCCAACAAGGCGAGAAAGAGCCTCCTTCACCAAAACAAGCTGTCAGTATTAGACTGCTCCAGAGCAGACCACTCTGCCATGGTGAAGATCCCTCCAGTGATTTAAGATTGCTCGAGGACTTCTGACGCACACTGCTATCAGGAGCTGGACACCAGTGTGTACTGAGTCTCTCCACCTAATGGAACAGTCTCTTTGCTTGCAAATGCTAAAAAGCCTAGTGCAGAGATACTGTTACCTCCCAACCACTGACGTAATCTGGGCAACATCAAACTTGAGCCAAGTAGAGGATCTCACCCATCAGCTAACCTATTTACAGACACAGAATTATGAACAGGTAGGAATTTTCACTCGTTTTAGTATATAAATCATGCCTACTTAAAAGAACCATTTTTGAAGACAAGCATGCTCTACTCTCCTGAAGCACTAATGAAACTTTGCAATAAAAATAACCGAAATCTACACAGAAGAATTCTCTTTGCTATCTAGCTAACAGAGCACCTCCAGAAACAAGGTTACAAGCATCAAGCACACATTTGAATCACACTGCTTCCCTTACTTTTCATCAGCTGACAGGCTTCCAATAAAAAGTGAGAGTCAGCCACCGGTAACAAGTCAACATTGGCTAACAGTAGTTAGGACCTGATACCATACCCAGAAATCCAAGTTAGGAAAGGGTAAGGGTGTTGTTCAGTTAAACACACTTCAATTCTGCCCAGCTGATTCTATCCCAATTTGCAGGCTTGGGCTAGGGACTGTCCCTTACAATGAAGGAGATGTGCTATGGAACCCAGCACCCGCCTGGCTTCCTGAGCACATGCTCTTTAAAAAGAAAAGTAACCTCTAAGTTTATGATGCAGTTTGTACGCAAACAAATCCATATCTAAATTAAGAACAAAAACTCTGTTTGCCACTATTTATGATTTTAGCTCTGCATTTTTATATGAAGCATGAATTGATTTTGTGTTTGAGCTGTTGATGCTAAAGCTATTAGGTTTGAAAGATAGCATGAGAATATGTTTGAGAAGATGTCTCGAAACTGTAGTTTAAGTTCAGCCTTAAATTTAATGACTATAGCCCTTTACAGTCAGTAAGCAAAGTTATGCTCTCACAAACCTTATTCTACTTCCCCAAATAAAAGTCACACCTCTGATGTGATATATGGCTAACAGCACATGTTGAAGAATAAAAGACAGTAGCAGCTAAAGCCAGATCAAATGAATTAACCAACTTTTTGATAAGAAAACAGTCAATATTAGAATTATCTAGTAAGCTCTCAACCTCTTACGCTAACAGGATAGATGTCTTCTAGATAGTTAAGCAAGTCATGAGAGTCACAGCCTTATTATAAGTTGCAATCTCTTCTTTGCTTCTTTCACTACAAGTAATGTAATTCCCTCCCCCGCGCCCCCCCCGCAAAAAAAAATCCCTCACAAACAAAGGTAGGACCTCCATTAAGCAATAATTCTAGCTAAGATTAATTCACTAAGTGCTACAGATCACTTCCCCATGAAAGCAGACAACTAACAGCAAGACTGACCATGTTAAGCATTGTTTAAAGTCTTTTTTGCATTAAGTAGTTTAAAAACATATATTTGTGCATCTTCTTCTCTACTATCCCGTAAGTTAAAACCAACTGACATTCACGAAGCAACGACAATTTTCCAGGCCTTAGAAAAACGGATTGCTCAATAAAAGTGTGAATGTATGAAGAAATAGTGAACCTTTTTTTTTTAAATAATCTTAACCAAACTATACAGATTCTGCTACAAAATTCTGTAGCTTTTTCTGTTCCTGAACATGAAAGATTGCATCAACAAGACTGAACTTAAAGAGTCAATACATTTCCTTAAGACTGCCTAGACAACCTATTTCTGTTCAAAGCAATGGTATGATCCCAACTACCAGGACACAGTCAATTGCTTAACAACCCTGTTGTCTTAACAGACAAAGCTTACATTTACTCCAGTCTGCAACATTCCAGTCCTAAACAGCTAGATCTCAAATTTAAGTAGTAGTTAACCATTGCTCAACGTAGTATTTCAGAGCTACATGGACTCAGTAGCCTTGGGCAGCTGCCCACTTTTATGAGTGGAACAAGACTGGCTGCTGCATACGTGTAACCCAATCTAGGGCTGCAAACACTAAAACCTGAACTTCGTTAGTCTTGCTCCCAAAGTAGCAGATCCCAGCGCTCAAGACCAGGTAGCAACAAGGGCAGCACACAGATGCACATGCCCTCCACAACGCCATCCTCACATTCTGCCATTCAGAAGAACTTTCTGTAAATCAACAGGTCCTTCGATTCAAGAATCGATCCTTCTATACCAGAAATTCAGCAACGTTTCTTAATGGCCATGCAGCAAGTAAACTGAATAAACAGAACGTGAGAAGGCAGCTAATACTGACTGCTTCAAGCTTTGAAGTGAAATGTGTCATGCAGAGTTGATATTTTTACAGCTACCAGTTGACATCTCAGACAAAACTCTGAAGTACTTGACAGAAACAAAACAGTTACTGGAACTATGCACCTACAATACAATAAACACTGCAAATACCATGCTATTTTGAAGAACTAGGCTAAAAAGACCTCTCATGCTAAAAACCAAAGCCATGCCAAAGGTCATTTTGAGACTGAAGCCTCAAAATGTAGGATTAAATATTAGGCTACTAAATCTGCATTTAAACATTGCGTATTTGAACTGTTTTTCAAAACTGCTAAGCTCCTGCTGGCTGTTAGGGGTAGTAATTTAAGCATTTGCCACATGGAAGTAGATGACAAATGACAGCAATCAAAGTCATATTCTTATTTTATGAACGAAGTTGGAGGAAAACATTCACCAGAAACTTCATAAACACACATAACACCCTGACAACATAGGAAAAGTCATGCCAAGACATTCAAATTGGGGAAGACGGCTGATAAGACTTCTACCTTTCAGCTCATTTACCTACTGAGCGAATAGCACTGCTGATGCCAGGACAGTTACGCAAGTGCCTAACTGCGTCCGTGGGAAGCGCGCCTAGTCTCCTGCGCGTTTAATGCTTAGTTCTCATTGCTGTCACAGACAACTCTTCATGCACGGTACGTTCCTCTAGCACATCGACTAGCCAAAATAGAAGAGCAGATCTGCAAAGTGATTGCAACATCATTTCTGACTGTAACTTCCAAAGAAACTTGGTTATCTGAATACCTAAAGACACTTCTTTTTTCTTTATATAGAATGCTTTCCTAGTATAAGTTTCACACAGTACAGCTGCGTTAAAAATTAAGTCCGTGTAGTTCGTATCAGATCAAAGGATGCCAGGAATCTAGTTCCTCCTCTCCCCGGGAAAGGGAGACAGGACTTGCAAGGATGAAAAGAATGACCTCACACACTTCAGGAATATTCTGCCTTCAGTGGGAAGAGTCAGCAAATATGGCATAAGCATTTGTGAAAAGTTTGATTTCACATCTATTTGAGTAAAATTCAGTTAGTTCATTAAAGAAACACATCCTTAGAGAAATTTGCAGCGGCAAATTTAAGGCAGTCAATACCTTTTGCTCAACCAAGAATTAGGGTGGGGGGGTGGGAGTGAAAACCTCACCTGCCTTTTCTCAAAAGTCACAGGTTTTGCATATGTGCAGTCAGCTAAACACCATGAATGCTATTCAGTAACATCTTCAACATTGGGCAAGAAATCCATCAAAGTGTAAGTCTTCCATACAGTATTTAAGTAGCAACCAGATTGCATTTTACTTCCTTAATGCATCATGTACTTTGGCAAAGAACAGGCTTTTAGAGAGGCAACTGAGGGCACAACCGCCTTCGAATATTTGGCAGCTTGCTGCTGTCAAGCAGCTGATGCAGGAATGACCAGCTAGAGTTCAGCCTGTGCCACACATTTGGAAACAATATCCTACGTCATTCAAGTTCACAGGAGCTCTGATATGAGACCACAACAGCATCACGTAGGAGTACTCTGATGCAAATCCACCAAGCCTCGTTGTTACATCATATGCTCCTGTTGCGAATGACTTCTGCGTTCGCTGGCCCAGTTGCGCTGCAAACTCTTTTCCTAACATGGGGCACTGCTAATTTTAAGTCAGCACTTGTAACATTAAACAAGAAGCCTCAGCATGTCTTTTCTTTCCAGTCCAGAAGAAAAAATAGGAAAGCTTATAGCCATTTATTAGAAGTACATACTTGGAGGTTTTTAATGAGGAATAAAAAAAAAAAAAAAGCGTTTTTACATTTAAGTACATTTAAGTACATTAGAAACATGACGTGGGAGGAGAGGGGACCAACCTAAGCCAGAAACACTTCAGTTTTAGTGTTACGTAGCCTGGAATTTTAAGAGGCCTTTTTTGGTCATATGACCACCCTCTCTCCCAACGTAAGTTTAAAATACAGATGTGAGGAGGAGGTTTATCTAAAAATAGTCCTAGATAAGTAAGAGAAACAATGGCAGTCACAAAAATATGTCAGGAATACTTTTAAAAATATTTGATAGTGGTGTTATCTTGCAAGCGACTCTATAAAGGGGAACCGTAACACGTTCAATGTAACCCTAAACGAGGTTTGAGCATTACAAGCGCAGCCCGTACAGCCAATACAATTTTCGGTGTCCGTGGGCCGGGAGCATTTTGCGCTGCCGGTGCCGAGGGCGCG